CTGACAATGTACTTTAACAAAAGGAATTGGTTGGCAACGAATTAACTGTTGTTTATTATGGGATAAACGTATCATTTTTAGTTAGAGACGACATTCATGCTAATTATTTTAAATTCCCAGTTAATTGTAGGTTTGTCATTCATAGCCCTTTAAATTCCTTTCATATAATTGCATTAGTTTTTATTTTTTCTCGTAATGACTTTAATATATAAGTAACCTTATTTATTGCTTGGTTAGCCTTGTATTTAATTGTTCGCATTACATAGTTCTAATATCTATTATTTCTTTTATTGCTCGATATGACAAATCTCATTATTTTATAATTAATTATAAATATTGGTGGATATTTTGTAATTAAATTCTTGTGTTTTGATTGTGATGCATGAAATATAATTAATATTATAATATAATTATGTTAGTATTAAACCTTTTTATTATGGCTAGTTGAACCGACAAACCCTTTAGAGATATCCGTGGATTTTCATGGAATTGGTGCCTATATTTCCTTGATCTGGGTATCGTAGTAAACCGACTAGATATAAATATAATTATACGTGTAAATGTGCATATACTAAAATTGCATATTATTAGTAGTGTTAAATGATTGATGAGTCATTTTTGTGCAAAAAAACCTGATATTATATTATGTAAATATCTACTTAAATGTGTATGTGCTCAATTCACTCATATTCAAGGGCATAAGCATGTGATGTTCTTTGCAAATTCTCTTATACATATAGTAAATTGTCCCTATTTATTGGTTATACTGCATGCCCCATTTTCATTATCGTTTATACCTTAATAAATAGTAGTTATTTACTGAGTTTATTTTCAAACTCACCCGTTGATATTCTTATATAATAGGTTTCACTCAACCACCTATCAGACCATCTCCACCGGAGTAAACTTTCCAAATTTAGATTTTCTATTGGTATTTTTCAGTTTTGTATGAGTTATTGTAGTTTTTTTTGGGCTGGGTAGTTTTTTCCTTATTTTCATTTTAGTTTCTTTAAGTTTTATTGGTTGTAACTTTATTTATGGAATAAAAATTTAAATTCTTCTTAATTCTTTCTATTATTTACATGCATATTTTTTCTCTTAAAAATATTAAACAGGTTCAATTCTTTTCATTATGCCCTGTGCTGCGGGGGTGTACCGCCTTCCGGACACGGGGTGTGACATTTTAAATATAATTTCAAAGATCTAGAAAACAAGACATCAATTTACAACAAATCCAGGTTCGGTAGGGCAGATGCCAATGGACAATGGTCAATCTCCGTTCCCCACCTTTTCAAATTTCTATTTTCATTTTGAATAGCAAAGAAGAGAAGCACACCCATGAAGGCCGAGTCTGCATCCAAGGCTGCTGATAGCACGTAGTTGTATTTTTGCCACCACTGCTTCCTGTAACAGAAAACACAATAATTAAATATTTTTCCAGTGACGAGCTAGCTAGCTATGTTTATGGGATTGGCTGGAGGCATTCCAACAAATCCATAAGAGATGACTGATATTTTGATCAAAGGTATTCACTTCTTTTCTGGATACATCATGCTGAAGAACCACAACTGCACTGGTAGCAGGGCCCCAACTAGGAACAACCACACCAAGTTGTGGTACATTCCATGGTGGCTGAAGAGGCGAGCAGGGCCCATGTGGCACAGATACAAGAGGGTCAACCGCAACGCGATATTTGCGGCATGTCCGTGGACTACCAGGATGCAAGGAATCAACATCGCTATTGCAATGTTGACGATTCCAGCAACAACAGTTCCAACAAGCTGGGCGGTGTACATGCACCTTGGTGGGATTTTCATGTAATGCCTGAGCTTGTGGTCAGGCAGGAAAGATAGGGCATGGATGGTGCTGATTCTACCATACAACTTACAGGGAAATTTTGCTATGGGCTTTCCTTGAAGGACATACCCAATCATGAGCTGTGCAATGATATCATAACCAGGTTGCTGATTTGTGGTTGCTTGGATAACTCCAACTGGTAGAGTAACAACCCATGCTAGCCCAAAAAGCGAAGAGCATACCCCGCCAAGGCAGCTGTGCCTCCTTCCATGCAAATGCCACTAACAGTGAAAACCCTCTGCTTCCTGCTAGAAGAACCAGGAACCACCACTGAGGAACCTGTTTATATTTCTTCATCAGCTTTGCATGAATATACAGCTTCTTTGAATTCACTGCAGACTTGCTCTGCCTCCAGATATCTCTACCATTGAATAAGAGCACTTGGGTTAATGTTGCAGTAAACCAAAGAAAACCTGAACCTATAGAGATTGCAAATAGAGGACTGAGAAAGAGCTTCCTGTAGTCATTGTAAGCGGCTTCATTGAGCTCGAATGTTGGAGTCTGAATCTTGGTTTTGTCATACTTCTGTCCTTGGAAGTAAATAGTTGGTTTGAGAATAAGGGAAACTTCCTTGCATTGAAGGTGTTGAAACTCCAGTAACAAAGAGGCATTATTATGTAGATGAACATGATGAAACCAACAGCTGTATTTAGAATAGAAAATCATGGGGTGACCGAAAGACTACCATGGCATGCAGAGATACCAGCCCAATCCAAAGTAAATGCTCCAACGCCAACTGTTAACCTGACCCTATCTGTTGAGCTGTGGTGCTGCGAGGCCATAGATTCAAGAGAAGAATGCCAGGATAGGGAAGAGGTATCCAAGTAGAGTGTAGTAGGCAGAGCTTGCCATTAAGAATACGAGGAAGAAATGCATCCTTGTCTACCTTTTTGATGATAAATTCCTCTGTGGAGAGCTCTAAAAGGGAAACTTGAGGAAGATTTGAAGGCCAACACATTTCAACTGGATCTACTAAATACATGTAGAGTGGAATAGGCGTCTCCTCCACCAGTTGGAAAATATGGTAATGATTACATGTTCGTTGATGCTAAATGTTCCAGGATTCATATTAAAACTCCTGCCCCACAGGACCCTTACCTCTTTGCTTGGTCGCACCCCCGCCATGAAGCGGCCGAGGGGAAGTGCTGCAATCTGCATCAAGATTGCCGAGATTGTGAGTGGCTGCGTGCGGAAAAGGAAGAATGTATTGAGAATGATGAGAAGGACGCAGCAAGTTAAGCTGAGGAACCACGCCCGGAATGCATTAAAGACCATTAAATCTGCATGATTTTATCTTATCACATCATAAAATGAAGGTTTTTTTATTGTTTAGGCAATAATAACGTAATTTGCTTAAATATTAGGATATAATCTTCTAGCCTTCCAAGTTTTTACCAAAATATATATATGTTGGAAATTCATGTAAAAAATTATCATTAACGCATTTTTTTCAAGTTTTGGGGTCAACCTTATGAATCATTATTCTCTATTCATTTGTTTTGAGTATTGCATGTGGTGATAAATTTAATTTATGCAAATTTTCAAGCACTTTAGCCAACTTATTCTTTTGCTCAATGCTTTTCTCTTTATATACTTTTCATGTTAATTGGATCTCTTGCTAACTTTTTTCTTTTCGAGCCATTCTTAAATCAACTAACTTTATTTTTACCAGTGACGCTTTCGCTTTAGCAAGTTCTTATCATCTTTAATATGTGTTACGATATATTTTCTGTTTTGACTGTCTATCTATTTCATCATTCTAATGTTTGCCATATTTAATTTTATGAAGTTTTTATTGAAAATAAACTCATCTTATCTTTTGATAACCTTTTATCATTTAATGCATCTTAGATGCTTTTATATTTTAAACTTCAAAGTTACATCTAAAACATCTTATATCATACTCTATACATTTCTTGACAGTCATGATAGACTCAATGTAACTTCTAGACTATTAAATTGATGTCATTGCCTAGGTTTAAACTTTTGCCAGTGAGCAGTAAGATGTTATATTTGTGTGGTGAAATATAAACCTTGAGGTTCTTTGAAGTGTAAGTCTCAGAATTAACTAATTTCACAAATTAAGAATTAATCCATACATCAAAGTATGAAGTAAGAAGTAACTAATATCATGATTTATTAATATTCTAAGAGATAATATATTATCATCTCAACATAATAAGAAGTAATAAATTATATAAAGTATCAAGTAATATAATAACATCATAACATCAATTATTAAGTAAAATTGTTATACAAATGTTAATGTAGGAACTATTAATATAAAAATTAAAAATAGTTTTAACAAAATAAGTCCTTTTCTTCCACTTCTATTGCTCAACATCTAAGTAAGAAAATAACAAGTAAACCACCTCTAATGATTAGAATTTCTGAAATAAAAAATCCAATATTTTCACCATTCAATGGGGCCTTAATTGGAATCATCATTTTAATAATTTTTTTCTACCTCATGTCATCCTCAGGTGAGGTATGCCTTGAGGCGCACCTCACATTATATGAGCCGCATACCTCATTATGAAATGGCTGAAAAGTGCTGAGTGTGCTTCAAATTGTTTAATTTTCAACACTTGTCCTTATATGCTTAAAAAATAATAGTTGGTCATTATCAGTTCCACATTCACTAAACTTGTAGATAGTGTATTAATTTTCTTTTACCAATCCTATCATTTTATCATCTAAAATCTTCTCTATTGTCCTCAATATCCATTTCTTTAGTATGAAGTTTCATCTATCATTTACAATACCAACTCCAAGATTTAAATGAGGCCGACCCCACATAGTTAGGATAAAGCTAATATTGAGGTTGACCTGCAAAATGAAAGCCAAAAGAAATGGGGGCATGGGTGAGATTATGATTCTTAAACCTTAGTGGCCCTTGAAATATTGATTTATTAGTTGTTTCCATATGATTTGGCTGACGTTTAGATATTTTCTTCAAAAGAGCATGCAAAAAGTTGTGTTATAAACAAAATTTCCAACAAACTATGCACGAATGCCACAATTTTTTGTACAAATGCAATGATCGAAATAACATTCTTTGAATTTTTTTTTTTTGCATTCAGATTTAGAGTTGCGTGATGCTCATCTTCTTGAGCATGCTAAATTGTTATGCATCCTGACAGGTAAGAGAGTGGCAAATGGCTCTGTGGAAAGATGATGTTGTGGTCGAGTGGAAGATCATAAAAGATGAATTTTCGCTGCATGTTCATTGCTTCGTCAGTGGGGCCAATATTCTGCAAGAACTAGCTGCTGATATTCGGTACCATATTTTCTCCAAAGAGCTCCCATTGGTGATCACCCATAAGTACTTTTTTCATAATACATTCTTACTAGCAGAGGTAGAATCTCAGATTTTATCTAAGGTTTCTTTTCATATAACAACATCCTTTCATCTGTATCTTGAAAGGTTCTCCAAGCTGTTGTGCATGGAGATTCTGCTTTGTTCGTTCACCAACCTGAATTGATGGATTCTATGGTTTGGGTGCACTTCCATTCAAAATCAAAAAAATACAACCGCACTGAGTGCTGGGGTCCTCTCAAGGATGCCATTCAGGTACATAAATTCAATTGCCCCACTCAAAAGACGTTTAGTGTATGGCCTTGAGCATGCAATTTTAATTGAATTAAATCCATCTTATGTATGAAAAGTCAGATTGCATCGACAAAAGGACTGTTATCATGCATAACTAATTATGATATCATTAATTATCGATCCAGTGTTATCATGCTTTGATCTTCGGTGATGCTCTTTTTTTATGTTGTCTTTGCATGTTGTATTTTAGTATGGTTTCCCAGAACAAGTAGTATTAGAGGCTAAGGACAAATGCCCTTGTTGCATGATAGTTATGACTTTACCTGAATCATTTTAATCAAGTTGTTATTTCTCAAGCATTACATTTAATATGCATGGAATTGATTCTGCTTATTATGCCTAGAACCGTTGCTTGGCTATCTGCAGCAATTTTTTCCTTGCACTCCAGATAATTTATTCACAAAATAATTTAACCAAAAACTTTACGTGCAATAGGTTGTCTATCAGCATAGTATATATCTCATTTAATAGATATTGATTCATGCATTTTGCCTACTGGGTTGGGTTTTTTTTTGCTGGAAAAGTCTGATAGAGAATATTATTATTGATGTCAGAGAACCTTGGTGGATGGATCTGATGACATCCGAAAGAAGATCTGCAACAGCATTGTGAAGTGGACATGTCCTGAAGTTTTCTTCCATGCCTTCGTTACCATTCTACTTTAATGTGTTGGAATTCAACAACAAATATCCAATCATTTACCAAAACTCCATTCTTAAAATCCGTTTTCTTGATTTGTCTACAACTAGTATCAAGTTGTTATTAACATTCATTGTGAAAGCTTCATATGCGATTGATTGGTGCTTTTGACTTATTTTTTCCAATCATGCTTTGGATTCAAACTAATGGGAAATTCTATGGTGTCATCTTCACAGATAAAAAAAACTTGTTTGTATGTCACATGTCATTCATCTAAGGTCCAGATGATTTTGGGGCTTCCGTGGAGCTTATTTTATGCAATTTGAAGGATATTTTGCAAGAGCGGGTGGTTCTTGATCAAAATATACTGTTGAAGCTCCATAGCCTAATTATTTGAAGAGTAATGTTTATTCACCTAGTTATGTAACATAAAGTTTACATATAACTAATTTGAAAATTGGTCGATTACATTCCGTATCATAGGATACACAAAATTTTCTTTTAGAAAAGAACTGCCTTTGAATTGAACATTTTAGTTAGTAAAACATTACTCATCTCACATTCTCTCTTATTTTTTGCCATATATTTCTGCTAATTTAAGCTTTTTGAGACTGTATAGTTGTATATGACGTTGCACTAGGCAGTAAGGAACTTCTATGGGATAATGCTAAGTTACCAACTCTTCATCTCACAGTTGCACGACGGGATGGTGCTCGGAGATAGCACTCATTATAATTTTACTCATCAAGATAGCAATAACATGCTACTCTTCATGTTCAAAATTTTCTTATGGATCACAAAATTCATCCCAAATTCACTTGATTTTTGATCTTGCACTAAATCATTCATGGTGACTTAGTGATGCTCATCTACAAACTTCTTCATAAAGGCATCATTTATCTCAATGATTGTTCTGACTGTGCCGTTAGGTTACTCAACATTTATTCAAAAGTGAACCCAACCATGGTAGTAATAGACTAGCTGAGGAGTAACAAATCATTATTATCGACATAATACCATAATGTTCTATACTTGTAACATGTTATCACAGGTTCTCAATTACATCAACGTGCTTGATCATGGGAAGGATAAATCCCTTGGGATGGGGAATAACCTAATACTCCTTAAGTACAACTTTCCCTTCCTTACAGAGGTCTCACTTTGGCGTGCTCCCATTGCCCTTAACCTTAACATCCATTAATGATTATAAATGGAGTCAAATATAGGAAGTTATGGCAACATAATGTTTGATTTAGGAGCATACGTCAATATAGGTATAGAAGCAACACACACAATTTGGTCTTAACTTGCACAACGGGCAAAACTACATTCGGCCTTGCTTGGTTTGCCTATAACACAACACTTGAGTAAATAAAAGGTTCATTCTAGTCATCATCTGAATAATCTAACTTTAAAGTTGAGCAATGTAGTCATCCTTATTACTTATTTCTTGATCATAGTGGCCTCTTGAGCCTCAACAGATTCAGGAAGGTTTACTCGATCAGAGTTTTGGGGAGAATTTTCATTTAAATGTTTTCCTGTTCTACTGGTCACAATCATAAATTGTTATGCAAAGAAAACATAAATGACTAATTCTTCCTCATGTTCATTATCATCATCTATGAAACCTTTTGGAAGGCCAGTGGATTAAGAGAAGGGTAGCTCTTAAGATCTATCTCAACACATACTTGTGGGTTGTCAGTAGGTAGGTCTGAAATAATATCAATTGAGGACCTAATCTCCTTCATCTTGATATCATTTTTTGAAGCTAAATGACTAAAGGGTTCAAATATTGAAGCATAGATAAGAAAGCTAAATGACTAAAGGGTTCAAATATTGAAGCATTTTTAACTGAATCTTTTACAAGCCATTTTTTCCTTAGACAACATCAGATGATAGTAATCTCTTTTAACAATTTTATTCTTAAAATAAAATGGGGAGTACCTACAAGCGCAACCCTCAGTTTCCCCTCATTAGAATATGAAGTATGCACTTGATTTTTACTCAAAGAATAATAAAAATATTCAAAATATTTTTTCTTCTGTCATCTTTTATCTGACATATAGAAGATGTGAATGCAACAACATGCAAAATATGAAATGAAATATTTTTAGAAACAATAATGGGTGTCACAAAAGACATCTATGAATGTATAATTGTGTGAATCATAGAAGACAAATTTTTAAACTGTGTAACAGTCCTGTGGGCATACTTCAATCTCCTTCTTGATGAATTCCTTGGTAAGTAGATTGTGTAACAGTCCTATGAGCATACTTAATTCTCCTATTTGGTGAATTCCCTGGTAAGGATAATGCAAGAACTTATGCAGGACCTGCTCAAAAGTGTCAAATATGAAGGAGAGGAATTCCTGAATATAACTATGAGCCTTCTGTTGATTAGACTAAATAGTTCCCTTAATCTTCTTAACTAAAATATTAGTTGAGTTGAAATTGATGTGCACCATAGGTTTAGTATATCCCACATTGCAAATGAGGGAAGTGGGGTTCTTAAAAATAGTTGTTGGAATGTGATAAGAGAAATTAGAAAGGACTTGAAACTTGTCTTTAGTCAACAAAACTAAAACCTCCTCTTTGACTAATATTATACAAACACAAGTTAACTCCTAGATTTATATGAGTCTCACCATTGCAAAGTCTTTACTTTAACCAAGACTTATATGTAAATGATATGTTGGTCCACTTGAATAAGGTGAAAACAAGAAAGTTATGACATGCATGTGATGAACACCAACTAATTGTTTAAAATTTGAGTGCAAACACCTAAGAACTTTTATGCAATGATATGCAACTATGATACAAAACTAATGCATTAAAATGCCATTGTAAGCAAATGATATGAATGAGGAGGTAAGTCACCATGACATTTTGTATGCAGCATTAAGGCTCAAAATAACCTTAATGCAAATTATAATGTAACGGGAGATCTAGAGACATCCATTCTCATGTGCTATCCTGGTGATGAATGATATGTATTTTGACATGCTTAATTTCCTATACATTTAACACTTGTTTTTGAATGAAATTGCACTTTAAGGGAAAGTTTTTCATGTTTTTGGTTGCAAGTAAATGGAGCGAAACAGAGTGAAATGGAGCAAGGAGCTGACCTCTGAATTGGTGCCTAGGTGTCAGCTTCTTGCGCTTAAGCGCTAGAATCCAGAGACCCCGATGCTTAAGCGCCACATACTGACACCTAGGCACCAGTTCAAAATTTCAGCCGACAGAGGGAGTGGTGCCTAGGTGCTACAGTTGGACACCTAAGCATCATATTTGGATGCCTAGGAACCATAACTGCCTGGACGGTTATCCAACAGTTTTTCACATGAAATGGAGGCTTTTTATTCAGTGATTCATGGTAGAAACAAGAGGATAACATTAGAGAGTCAAGGAAGCTTAGAAAAATGCAGGGAATTGAAAAAAAAGTGAGATTTTATTTTCTATTGCTGTATTTTACTTTGAAATCTGTGAGAGCTGTAAGGAATTGCTCTAAGATTGCAAGGAGAACACTTTGGGTTGGAGTTCTTTGTTTCTCAGGGAAGAAGATAAGTATATTGTTTTTATAGTCTTGTATCAAATAATTTCATAGTATTTGAATTTGATGTGTTATTGTTGACCCCACTTTTTGTTGAGGTCTAGTCTTTCTTCCTTACAAGCCTAAGTTCTAGCCATATGATTTTCCTGTTGACTATTCCTAGATGACTAATGATGAACCCCTTCGCCATTAGAAATTATAAACACTTCTTTGCTCTTCTTGAAGTTCCACATGTTTGGTTCTAACCTCTAGCACTTAGTAGGATGGAGCCAAGCATGGGGGAGCTTAAGAGGAGTCCCCATAGGATTGTCTAGCATTAGGGTTAGCCCTGGGTGGTGTGGTCTTGTCTAGCCTTGCACACACACATTTGAACCCTTCATTTTCACTCACAACCTAAAACCGTTAACCAAAAATGCTTAGCCTGATTCCCTACTATTTTGGAAACTCATGTAGATGGCCCCCCGCCCCCTCCGTAGCCCGAGGCTAGGGTTTGACTAAGATCAACACATGGAGGATCCAAAATGGGAGCTCCCTTGGTCTCATGATACCATAAGGGTAATTTTGTGATTAGCCTTCGATTGGCCTTCTCATTAAGCCCTAATTCTACCCAAATACCAAATTTCCTTTTGCTCCCAAACTTTCTTAAAATTTACCAAATTGCCCCTAGAATCCTAAATTTTCAAAAATTTCCAAAATCCAAAAATTTTATCCAAACATTATCCCAAACCATTTCAAATCACTCGAATTGCCCAAAAAAACCCCAAAATTTCCAAAATTACCAAAATAAAATTTCCAAAATTACCCCAAAATTTCCAAAATTACCAAAATACCCCTAACTTCATCAAAATTACCAAAATGCCCCTCATGGCCCAAAAATTCCCAAAACATCCCAAATCATTCCAAACATCCCCAAAGCTAATCCTAGCCACCAATTAGACTCAATTTGACCAAATTGATCAATTTTGGCCAAAATACCAATTTTACCCTTAAAAGCCCTAATTCACCCCTAATTTCCATCAAATTGGTTTCAAACTTCCCCAATTTCAAACCCAAATCAAATTTCATCATGTCTAAGCCCAATTCAAACCAAATTTTAGCCCAATTGAATCCAATTTCAAAATCAATCTTCAAGACCAATTTAAAATGCCTAAAATTAATCGTAAGCCAAATTCCCATCAAATTGAACTCTCTAGCCTTCCAATTCCCCCAATTTTGGATTTTAAACTCTTCATGACATTCCTCTAAATCGAATTGAACCCTCAATCGGCCTTGAACTAACCTCAAACCTAGCCCAAACTCAATCCAAACAAAACCCCCAAAATTTTCCCAATTGAATCTAATTTCAAAATCAATCTTCAAGCGCAATTTAAAATGCCCAAAATTAACGCTAAGACAAAATCCCATCAAATTGAACTCTCTAGCCTATCCAATTCCCCTAATTTCCTACTTTTGGATTCTAAATTCTTCATGACATTCCTCTAGATCAAATGGAACCCTCAATTGGTTTCGCCTAACCTCATACCTAGCCTTAAAGTCAAAATTCCTTCAAATTGATAGCCCCTCAATCTTCAACCCAATTGATTTCCAAATGCCTTGTGACAATATCCTACACCAAACCG